GGGGGTACAGGGGGCACAGGGGGTACTCACGGGACACCGGGCGGGGGCAGCAGCAGTGCCCCGGTGCCGCCGGTGCCCGGGGGGCTGCCGGGTCCCCCCTCCATGGCCGCCCGTGCCCGGCGCCCGGAGGAGCGGCCCAGGGAGGTGCTGAGACGCGTCGCCAGCTTTTTGGGGGTGCTACCCTGCGCCCCCCCGCCGGGCAGCCCCGCGCTGTACAGCTCCACCTTCAGCTCGAAATCGGGACCCGCCTCCGAGCTGGGGGGCACAGAGGGGTCAGGGACAGCAGGGGACACCCTCACGGCCACCCCATGGACTGTGGGGACACTGGAGGAGAGAGAGCAAGGGGTCCCAGAGGAGAAGTGTGGGGTAGGGAGTCCCTCTGAGGGGTGGGCAGGGGATTCTTGAGGGGGGCAAGGGGGGTTGGGGGTCCCCAGGGAGGGGCAGAGGAGGGCAGGGGTCACCCCTGAAGTGGTCAGAGGTCCCCCAGCGGGATTAGGGGTCCCAGGAGCGGGGGCAGGAGAAGGCAAGGGTCCCCAAGGGGGGTTTGGTGGTCCCTGGGGGAGTGTCAGGGTCCCTGGGGGGATGTAGGGGTGGTCAGGGGTCCCATGGGGAGGGATCAGGGGTCCCATAGGGGTGTATTGGGGTGGTCGGGGGTCCCATAGGGAGGTGTCAGGGTCCCAGGGAGGGGTGTGGGGTGTCGGGGGTCCCGTGCCCCTCCTCACAAGAGCACGGCGCCCTCGAAGCAGATGTCGGTGAGGGTCCGGTCCACCAGCACTGTGGGGGTGTCGTGGATCTCGGCCCCCACCTGCAGCAGCAGGAACACAGCACAGCGGTGCAGCTCTGGGGGGGGCATTGGGGGTCAGGGGGGGTCACAGAAGGCGTCACAGGAGAAGGGGGAACCCCCAGCACCCCAATACTCACCCCCCTTGTTCCTGAAGTACTCGGTGTCCTTCCACATCAGCGGGATGCGCAAATCTGGGGAGGGTGGGAGGGAGGGCAGGAGAGGGGTGAGACCCCCTGAGACGCCCCCAAACCCCTCGCCCAAAATGCAGACGGTATTGCGGGGGGGACAAGAAGAGAGGATGGGATCCCCCCTCCCCAGAATCCCCCGGCACCCCCGGACCCCCCCCATACCTGAGATGCAGACGGTGCCGCGGCACGGCACCCGCTCAGCCCCGGGCCCGGCGTCCGAGGGGCTGTGGGGGACGGGAGGGGGTCAGCAAAGCTCCCCACAGGTTTTGGGGTGCTCCCCCCAGGTTTGGGGTGTCCCCTGCCACCACACCCCCACAGCTGTGCCCCTCTGGATTTCCCCATTTCCCCCAAATTTCGGGGTGATCCTCACTGTGGGTCTCATCCACCTCTGGATTTTGGGGTTTTCCCTTAAGCCGTGTCCTCCATGTCCCCCCAGGTTTTGGGGTGCTCCTTAACTGCCGCAGCCCCGCAGGGTCTCTCATCCCATCCCCTGGGTTTTTGGGGTCCCCTCACTGCGGTGTGACCGATGTCCCCCAGGTTTTGGGGTGTCCCTCATTGCCACACCCCCCATGGAGTCCTCAAACCCCCTCCCAGGTTTTGGGGACACTCCCCACCAACCCCCGCGCGTTTTGGGGTGCCCTCACCACCCTGTGGGATTCTCCCTTCCCCTTCAGTTTCGGGGCTCCACAGGGTGCCCTCCCCAGATTTGGCCATCCCCTGGGGTACCCAATGCCCTCCCCCAATATTTTTTGGGGTCCCTCACCGCCGGGCCCCCCTCAGCCGAGCCTCCTGGCGCCGCTGCAGTTCCCCCCCGGCCGCGACCACCCTGGCATCGCACAGCACCAGGGTCTTGGTGGTCTCCAGCGCCTGCTCGGGGCGGCTGCAGGCGGGGAGGAGCCGCCGAGCCCCCTCCCGGACCCGCAGTGCCCGCTCCAGAGCCCGCTGCAGCTCCGGCTCCTGGGAATGGGCACATTTGGGAAGTCAGGGGGTCCCCAAAAGCCCTCCCGGACCCAGAGAACCCGCTGCAGCTTTGGTTCTTGGCAATGGGCACATATGGGGGGTCAGGGGGTCCCCAAAACCCCTCCCACACCCATAACACCCACTGTAGCTCTGGTTCCCGGGAATGGGAACATTTGGGGGGTCAGGGGGTCCCCAAGAACCCTCCCGGACCCGCAGCACCCACTGCAGCTTCGGCTCCTGGGAATGGGACAAACTTGGGGGCCAGGGGGACCCCAAAACCCCGCCCGCACCCGCAGCTCCGGCGCCTCCCACATTTGGGGTTCGGGAGGGTTTGGGGGAAAATGTGGGGCTAGGGCACCTGCTGGGCACCGAGGACCCGGGCACCCCCCGACCCACACCCCCCCCGGGGGTCCCAGCCATGCACAGGCGGTGCCAGCATGGGGGGTCCCAAACAGACTGGGGGGTCCCACCCACACACACGAGGGGCCCCAGCCCTGCCCTGATGGGGTCCCAGCTGCACCCACACATCGTGCACCCCACAGATTTACCAGGCGCCCCACAAACACAAATCCTGTACCCCACAGATTTATCAGGAACCCCACGGACACATTATGTACCCCGCGGGGAACCCGTGAACCCCAAAACCACCCCACAGATGTGCTGTGGACCACAAGGATTTACCGCGCACCCCACAAACACATCATGGACCCCACTGCAGAGCCACGCACCCCACAGATCTATCGTGCACCCCATAGGTTTACCAGGCACCCCACAAATTATTCCTGCACCCCACAAACACACTGTGCACCCCATAAGGGAACCACGCGCCCCACAGATCCATCGTGGGGAGCTGTGCACCCCAAAGGCAGGGCACGCACCCCACAAACTCATCCAGCACCCTCTAAGGCAACCATACATCCCACAGATCCATCCTGCACCCCACAGATTTACGATGCACCCCAAAAACACATCCCGCACCCCACAGATCCGTCCTGCACCCCACAACCCTGCCATGCACCCCACAGATTTACCACACCCCCCCAAACTCATCCTGCACCCCACTGATGCCCCACGTGCCCCACAGATCCATCGCGCACCCCACAAACCCCCCAGATTCACCAGGCACCCCCAACACCCCAAATTTCCCAGCACACACCCCCCCACCGGCCTCCCTCAGCCCCCCAACTCCTTCCCGGTACCTCCTGCTCCTCCATCCCAATCCTGATCCCGATCCCGATCCCGATCCCGCCCCTGTCCCCCCCCTCCAGTGACGTCATCACCTATAAATAACCCCCCGCTGGAAACAAGGGGAGCGGGAGCCCCCCGAAAAAATCTTCCCCCCTCGTGGTTTTGGGGGGCTCCTGAGGGGGTGAATCCTTTGGGATGAGGAGCGCATTCCATCCTCCCGGGACCCCCGGGACCTCCTGGACCTCTGGTTTCCCGAGGTCTGGGGGGGTCCAGGGCAGGCCCGGGGGATCCCGGATTTTGGAGTTAAGGGGGGGGGGGGTTCCCCAAAATTCCCACCTGGATGCTGGCGGCGATCTGGCGGATGTAGAGCATGTTGAGATCCTCCAGGATCCGCAGCCGGCGGCCCCCCCCCACCTCCATCGGGACCCCCGGGACCCCCCCAGCTATTTTGGGGGGTCCCCCCAAAGCCCCCCAAGGGGGTCCCGCCGCATCCAGCGCTGGGGTGTAGTGGGGACCCCCCCCACCGAGGTGGCTGCGGGGAGAAAAGGGGGCTTTGGATGGGCTCCCCCCCACCCCGGGAATTCGGGGGGTCCCCCACGTGCTTGGGCTCCTCCCTGGAATCTGGGGGGGGGCGTCCACGTTGTCTGCCCTCCCCAAATCGCCGCCCCCTCCCAGGGAACAAGGGGGAGACTGTGCGGGAAAGGGCAGCGGGGGCGGGGGGGACGGGAGGGAGGCAGGGAGGGGGGGTTGGGATGGGGTGGGCTGGGTTTGGGGTGCAAGGAGGGGAAGATTTGGGGTGCGGGGAGAGGATATGGGGGGCGGGCACGGGAAAAGATGGGGTGCAGGGTTTGGGGTGCAGGGGAGGGGAATAAGGGGTGCAGGGGACAAGGTGGGGTACAAAGGATGGGGGCAGGGGGACAGGATGGGGTGCAAGGAGAGGAGGGGGTGCAGGGACGGGACAATGGGGCAGAATGGGGCTTGGGGCTTGGGGACGTGATTGGGCAGGGTTTGGGGTGCAAGGAGGGGATTAGGGGCTGGAAGGGAGTGCAGGGATTGGGGTGCAGGGTTTGGGGTGCAGAGATTGGAGGGCACGGTTTGGGGTGCAGCGTTTGGGGTGCAGAGATTGGGGTGCAAGGTTTGGGGTGCAGGGTTTGGGGTGCAGGGCACAAGAGAAAGGGTGGAGAAAATGGGGTGCAGCAGACAAGATGGAGTGTGGGAATGGGAAAAGAGGAGCAGGGAAGGGATTGGGGGACAGGAGAGGGTGCAGGGGACTAGATGGGGTGCAGTTTGGGGTTCAGCGAGCGGATAAGGGGTGCAGGGGAGGGGAGACCAGCTGGGGGGCAGGGAGGGGATGCATGCGGCAGGGGAAGGGGTTCCAGGGTTTGGGGTGCTGGGGACAAGACGTGGTTCAGGGTTTGGGGTGCAGGGTTTGGGGGTGCAGGCAGAGGACAGGACGCAAGGTTCGCGGTGCGGGGGCGGGACGAGGGGTGCCTGGGGTCAGCGTGCAGAGCCTGGGGGTGCCGGAGACGGGAAAAGGGGTGCGGGGAGGAGGGGACACCGTGGCCCGGGGGTACAAAACGGGGCTCCGGGAACGGCACTGTGGGAAGAGGTGGGGGAGGCGTGGGAGGAGGAGGAGGAGGAGGAGACGGGGTCCCGTGCGGGGGAGACGGGGAACGGAGTCCCGGTAGGGACGGACACCGGGACCCCTTCTCCCCCCACGCCACCGGGACCCCTTCTCCCCCCACGC